GACCTAACCTTGCATGCCACACATGTAGATCAGCCGCTCCTGATTCGTCTCTTGATCTTTTCTCTTGATTAGTCGCTTCGCATATGTTGGCTGACTCAACTGGACTGCAATCTAAGACGTACATCTTGTTCCGCCTTGGGACTTGAGCAATCACTTCCGCGTTACTTCTGATCTGACAGCTCAGATCTGTGAAGATCACTTTAAGTCCTTTTCTTTGAAAATGCCGATATTGACAATAGCCTTCGGTCCAGGCCTGGCACCCATAGTGTCTCTTCGATCCTGATCACTTCACCAGTCTTGAGTTGCAAACACACTGTCCCAACGCCTTGTGCCTTTACTTCGCTTCCGTCTGCTATGGTTATCATGATTGGGTCTTTCAGTGAGTCTAGTTTCGAAAACTCATTTCTGTCAGGACACATGTGGCTGCTCGCCCCACTATCCAGTAACAATCTAGCAGACGTCGGACAAGACGCAGTAAATGCTCTCTCTCTCTTCCCCAGATCGCCTTGTCTCCTCTTGTGCAACTCCGCAATCATGACGCTTGTGCCCATATTTGTTACATCGGTAACATCTTCCTGAGAACTTTTCATCTCTTGAACTTGACCTCCCTTCATGTCGGCGTGGTCCTTTCTGGTACCTAAAAGTGTGCGTACTTTTCAGTGCGACTTCTTGGTGATCTGTCCTTCTCATTCCATCGTACGCCCGTCTCAGTATTTCCTTTGCATGAAACATAGTCATGCCGGGCATGTTCTCAGTTATCTTGACGATGTGGTCGTAGTCTCTCGTTAGACTACCCAAAAAGAATGACCAAATGATCCTCCTGTGAGATCTCTTATCCAATAGCTTGTATAGTCATACACAGCTCGTCAAATCTCATGAAGTGGTCCATGATGCTTCCTTCCTTGGCCAACTTGAACTCATGACGATGCCGTCGAAGTTGCACCCTATTGTGCATACTTTGTCGCAGGAAGAACGTCTTCAAAATGTTTCACGCTTCTGCCGTGGACTTCGCCGTGCGCACCAATGACTGAAGATTTATGCTGATCATTGTAGACACGATCGCAAAGGCCTTCATGCCGTTGACTTTCCAAGTTGACGCGGCTGCGTCTCCTTCTTCAGGGGCCTTCATAGCGTCTAGATGTTCTAACAATCCCTTCTTTGCCAGCTTCATCCTTGCTTTGAACTTCCATTCGAAGTAGTTGTCTTCACGAAGAATGTCGCCCGCGTCCGGCGTGTTTGGGCTCATTACCTTTTGACCTTTGGCAGCAGCCAAGGACGATGTAGAGTAGAAACGCTAAGAAGAAGGTCAAATGGAAAGTGAATTATCATCTAGCTAGGTCCTTAGTTCGTCTTGTTTTACTACTCTAAGCCTATCGATAACGACTCTGCGTGTCAGTTGCAAAACGATCAGCCGATCCCATCGTTACACACAATCATGCAGTTTCGTCCTTGCTATGTGGTCACTAGTACCCCCATACAACAACATTACCAATACAGGTGTATATTCAATTCGTTCCTCTTCAAAACCGATAAAATTGAAGAGTGCCACAAGAAGAAGAAGAAGTGATCGAGGAGGAGAATGAAGTGGTCGAAAGAAAAAGGACTAAATTTCAAAACCAACACCACAAATGCACAAAAGTCCCAAAACCAGTACTACTCAATTCAAGTATAAAAACACGCTAAACAGTGTCAGCCACACTACACTTAACTGCAACATGGAATGAGAAACTGCGTGATTGCTAGGGATAGACGAGGCGGCAGCAAGTAATTTCTACGATGGCAAGAAGTTAGGCAGTACGTGAGGCAACAAGCAAAGTAAATATACATTGTTGGCTTTTTTGCGCCCGGTGCTTACTTACTAAATAGCTACCAGCAACAACCGTGTCTCGATTAAATTGTCTTGTTTTTCAGCCTTGATTAAGGTTGGCATAATACTGTGGAAGGATGGTTTGAAGCAGCTGGCGATATGCCTTTGGGAACACGCGCGAGTATAAGCGGTGGGCCCATTCCAAACGGTCCTGCGTATATCATCAAGTGTTGCTCCTCTTGCGGTGCCATTATCTGCGGCTGGTGGTGCTCTAGTGGCGGCAGTGGCTGCTAGAACGCAATTGGTCCTTGTGGAGCTACGGGTGCGCCAAATGAGACATTACGTGGATACCTTTTGACCTTCGAGAGATGTTGTTGCGAAGGCGGCGATTGATCCATGGAGGCTTGGGCTGGAGGAATCTGCTGCTGATGGCGGTGGTCGCTCCAGCTCGATGTTCGCGCGTGGAGGTACAATTTGTATGATGGGTAGCAGTAATCGTGGAGCGTGCGTTCGCCCCGACACGTCGATCCTTAGGCATTGGGGCCGGTGCACCGGGAATGACGCCAAAGATAGCCGAAACAAACATGTGCCGCTCGTCGATGGTGCCATATGCATCATCATCTTTTGTGGGACCGTATTTCTCGTAGTTGCTCGGGCTAGCGTACTCTTGCTGCGGTTGGATGTTGGGAATACTGGTCAGGGTACGGTCCCTGGCCACCAACAGCAGCAATAGGTGGATGTGTATCATACTTACCTTGTACCCGTAGACGCCTTAATCACCTTTGTTACACGGATTAGGCAGGTCAGTGCCCACAGGTATGTCAACTCCAGTTGGATCAGGTGCGAGGTTGTCGGGTGTGGGTGTACCCATAGGGCCCCATACGTTCTTATCAACTCCGCGCTTTCCAGCATCGAAGCCGGTAATAGAGTCTGGGCCATTAGACCGCCGATCATAGGCGTGCCGCCCTGACCACTGATGTTACCCCAATCGTTCACCCCGAACGATCCTTGCCGGTCCACAAGGGGAAGATTGGTCGGACACGGAATACAAGGCTTCTTAAGCTGCTTACATGGCGGTTCAAAAGAAGCACGGTACGAGCTGGTAGAAATATGAACTGTTAGCATTAGGCACGAAAGGGCCAATCGAATGTATTTCGACTTACTTGCTGCCGCGCTTGCTGTCATTGACTGTTTCACTTACTACCGTCTCGCTCTCCCAAGCCATCAAGCAGTTTCTTGTCCCATGTTGCAGTTTAGTATTATGTGGCTGACACTATTTAGCGTGTTTTTTATACTTGAATTGAGTATAGTGCAGGTTTTGGGACTTTTTGTGCATTTGTGGTACTGGTTTTGAGATTTACTCAAGAAAAAAGCACACCGATTTCGTATCGTTGTGAGCACTTAGTCGACGCCCAGCCTTTCTCTCATGGCCCCGTCGCTGCGTGGGACTGCACGTCTCGTTTGTATTCGCCCAGGCTTTAGCAAGCCGACCACCTCCTTCATTCATCCTAAGGCGTATCAACATCCATAGCCGGCACATGAGGCCTGTCGGTCTTTTATGTACCAGGCGATTTGACAGACGCTGGACGCATCAGCAAGTGCAAATGAAACTGCTATTCGGGAAAAGCTTATCGGCACAGCTGTGCGAAAAGCAAGGATGGATGGGTGGATGCCACGGGCTAAATGCGCTCATTGTAGTGTGTCAGGTCAAGGTATCTTGAGCAAAGTTCCGTCTCTTAACCAGCGAGCAGTACGAATTAAAGTTTTATACACCGTGTCGAGCTTGTTTCTCCCTTGCTACGGCTCTCCTACGGCGGATGCCCGAACGAACCAGTCGATCTCGTGGCTTCGATCGTCTGTCATTTCGGTTTTGTATCGCTCCAGTCCAAGTCCCCTCTTGCGATGCGTGTCTTTTCGCTCACACTCATGGCCTCATCTGCGCTCCGGATACGTGCTGACGGCACCGTAAAGGCTGCGAGTCATGATACCAAGGGTCTCTATGGCTCTGGAGTCGTCCACGTATCATCCACTGGCCAAGACGGCATCCCCTTCCGGCAAGGTGGTTATCATCAACGACACCAGTACCGACGAGGAGAGAGTAGAGTTAAGCCGGCTGCCTAGATTTGTCGCGGACGTGTTGAACATAATGCGCGTGGGTTATCACATGGAAAGTCTCGCTGGACCTCTCGCAGCGGCGCAAGACATGGACCAACTCGTTGTTCCTCTCAAAAAGCTTTTGAAGACGCACGGTGTGCGGTATGGATCCCCGATAGCGGAAGGCAGACCAGAGTATAACAAAGTGGCAACTTTTCTGGCGAAGGATAACCAGCCACTGCTCGAAGACTTGCTTCGCGCGCCCTCGAATCATCGTTGGCATGCATTGATCGCCTTGATGTTGAGGTCCACTGATCGCAGAGTAAGGTCCACGGGGAAAATTCTTATGGGCTCTTTGATGGCCAGATGGTCTGACCAACGAATGCAGCTCTATCAACTCTTCGAGGGACTCGACCCGCATCATGATATCACTGGTTTCACTGACTATTATCGCCTTTTGCACGACGTGGTAAGGTCGTTTTGTCGTTTCGAGTATAACATAAGGGGTGATGCGATGTACCTTGAGCGATTGATATGGCGGGCTGGATGGCGACCTGCCTTTCTATCTGAGGTACGTGCTGCATTTGAGTCTGAAACCGACCGCGCGCGAGCTGTCGAGCTATTGACCCTGATGCTAGGACAACGTTTTGAGTCCGGTATGGCTCCCCACAAAGCTTTCAAGAAGCTGAAGCTACAACAATATAATAGAGAGTTGTTTGACGAGGCGCTCCTACCGCTGTTAAAGGAGTACGTCATCCTGTACAACAAGTTTGAACCCAAGGCCACGACGACTCTTGCCAAAGAACTGAGTCTCTTGCGACGCACTGGTGAGCCGAAGAAGACAGTTGTGGAGCATGCTGAAACGGGCTAGATGCTCAAGGAGAGAAAGCGACACACGAGTACGTTCTGTGGCAAGTCTTTCGGGAATGGGAGCTGCATGGAGACGCCTCTTAGTCGCTAGCAGGAAATGGCTGGACCAAACTAAACGATGACTATGGTGATAAGTTGAGAGCGTGACGCGGCAATCATCAAGGCGAGTACACCAAGTTTTTGGCAGCTACACGATGACTGATGTCTTGCCGCTCAGCGCGACCGTAGATAAACTCGCCTGGTAGCTTTGGCAATAACCACCTATGTAATATATTTGATTACCATCGTCTTGTACATGCACAACACGACATATATACACCTAGCAGTGGCCAGTCAGGCGACGTGTCATCTGCTAGACTTGTAGTTGTCGTCGTCTCCTTATCTTTCATTCTAGTTCGCGCTCGTTACATCATTGGCAAACAGTCGAAAGACGCAACATGCCCTTGATGTTGAAGATCAATAAACAACATCATGCTTTTGTATTACGATCATAACGGCAAAGTTATGAAACCGTTCGAGTGTTTGCGTGCTGTGATTGCTATACTTCTCCACATCTGCTTACTGGCTGTGCGTGCATTGACTTGTGTCCACGTCTGTGTGCTCGCGCGCGGATTATACCACACGTCATGCAAGGTTCGATCGAGTAGGTGCTTCTTTATGTGCATCTATATACATGTTCGTGCCACTCTTGATTAGGCACAAATTTCGGTCGTTCGATAAGAGTCATGTGCTGTTCACTCGTGCGTGCGCACATGATTGACTCACACGATAGCGCAGACGAACAACTTCTCGACGCTTGCAAATTCTCGACGCTTGAAAATTCTCGACGGTTGATGTAGCATAGCCTTCCGCGTCACAAACATTACAGCACCTCCTCGTCCAGCGGCAGAGAGAGAAATCACAAGCAGTTGCCTTCTGATAGCTTCATGCTGTAACAAGCTAGGCCGTTCCATGAAATTATCTTAAAAAAAGAAATGGCAATAAAGAAGATTACGTTACATATTCTAATACCAATATCCCTAAGTTTAGGGATATTGTTGGGATGACCAAAGAGTCTACTCATTGGTTGATATTGTGATGATATTACTTTCTAAAATTAATTTTATCAAAATACTAATTTATTATTCAGTCTATCTTTGGGGTTTATTTTCATTCTAGTAGGATTATATCAATCTTCAATCGCTGCTAGACTCACGCAAAAATGGGTGGTGAGTAGACTTCATCATACCTTTAGTTATATCAATATGATTAAGTCAGTACTAACAGAGAAACAAGAATTATTGGGCTTAATTGTCATAATAAAAGTTTCACTTTTACCACGACTAGTCTTTACCATAGTCATTTTCCTTCCTGTGTGTATTATCTATACCTATCTGGGCATTGACCTTCACTGTTGTCAGCAATAATTAATTCCGTACTGGCAGACCAGTACGAAGTCGTCGGTGCCCCGTTACACATGCCATCGACCACACTGGGTTTATTTTGTCGCACAGGCGAACACATCCGTCGTCTCTCTTTTCTTACACGTATTTTAACACGTCAGGTGCAATGATTACTGGGGTTTCTACTATTGGATTGACCGAAGTGACGCTTTTACGTTGATGACAAGAAATACATGTTGTAGTTGCACACTTGGGTAGTAAATTACAGTAACACAAGTGACGCTTTTTACGTTGGTGACAAGAATACACGTTGTGGTTGCACACTTGGGTAGTAAACTACAGTAACTGGGCTACATAAGAGAGCTATTACTTTTACCCTGTGGTGGACCAGGCACATGATTGGTGCATGACGAAAAGTGTTCAGTCGAAGCTGACATGTCTCAGCCGCCCAGAAAGATAATCACCAAAGTGTTCGCTGGTAAGGTGTAAAACTTGCATTTTACTACTAGACAAGTTTATCACTATTTTAACGTAAAAGAATCAGTACACGTTTTGAATATAAGAAAGCAAAACTTGTTTGGGCGTAACCTTCAAGATTTTTAAACATAGATGTTATAAAAGTCAGTTCCTTTGTGAATTGGAAGACTACTGAGCATATAATCGAAAGTTTACCTTAGCCAACTAAACTTGTCAGTCGTTCATCTTCTTCGTATCAACCGCTTTCCACTATACTCCGTAGTCTAGATCAGCAAACTAATAGGTTCGTTGAGCCGCAGGTGAATATCTGATTATAATGTGTCAACCATCGCTCCAATAGAGGCGAGCTTACATGTGACGAATTCTGTGTGGTGTGTACAACGCAATGTCAACATAAAATTTGCTTTTTTATTTAAATGCTGAGGTGTCTATGGTGATAGTAGAAATGTCACGGGGTGTTACATTTCTAAGATCCGGTTAGTGCGACTTAGCAGATATCCTAATCAAGAAGCCCTAGGTGACATACAAGCATGATTAGGAATACGCTGCACCTGCTATAGCAGAAGCACGTCTTTTCCGATGTCGACACGTGACGGCTGGTTATCTCTACCCTGATCTCTCACAAAAGGCTGCATTACCCACATAGCAGTCTGGTATAGCAGTGCCGTATATGTCAATTGAGCTGTTGCTTTGTCGGCGACAGCAGTGACAATGAGTAGATTTGTATCTTGGCAAGATTTTCACATAAATGACATCTTATTAGGCTCTCACGAGTCGGGTCCGGCTTACGCCACGCCTTGTTGGACGTATGACAAGCACCCTCGATATCACGTGGCTATACGCTTCACAATTTCGAAATAGATAGTGATTCAGCGGTTGGACATGTCCGCCAATGCAATGTCAAGGAGGTCTGATGACAAACATCTCCTTTACATTGGGAGACAAGGTCGACCATTATGACGACGGAAGTTGAACAACTGATGCACACCGCGTGATAATTGACATACTACGTGTCGGGGTGAATTCTAATGTAGCATAGACGTTAGTTGACAGAATATATACGGCCTTTGCCTGGCGTTGGAAATTTCATATCTATAAAATTGACGAAGTTGAGCATTTACGTTGAACGGAGATAAACTTGAAAGGGGACAAAATTCCTTGGTGATCTAATATTTTGGGTGATATTTTATAGTAACATGGTTATGTTTCGCCCATGCGTGACACGGTAGTATGGCGAAGCGGCGGTATTTTGATTCCCTCTAATTCGACTATATTTGCAATTTTCTTGTTCATAAATGACGGACGTGAGCCGGTTCATTGATTGCGTACAAGACGAGTGTGCAACAGTTCCATGACTGGCTCCTCTTTCGTGAGCGTACATTTCTGACTTATTTTGATAAGGGAAAGGAGTGAGGGTGACACTAGTGATTTCAAACGGCATGCGATATAGCCGCGACTATGGCTAGTGGTACACGTGTTCTCGTAAGCGTGCATCAGGCGCCAACGCGCGCTGTAACATATTGGCTGCACTTCAACAATGACGGCCCAGCCGCAAACTACATAAACTGTCATTATCCAGGCGGCGTCTTGCTGCAGGAATTAGACTTTTGGTAAACATAGGGGTAAGTGAATAAGTAATTTAGGACGGTAGGACCGATCGTGGTTAGGCTAAGTGCGGATCAGAAATCGATCAGTAAAAACGGCCGCAATCATCGCGTTGCGGTGTTGCTACGCGCAAAAATAGCTGACGGAAAAAACTCTTGTATCCCGGTCACCGAACGATGAAAAAGGTTGTGCAGCATTCTATGTCATACGCATTCACGGAGACAATTACGAGTAGGTACGCAATTATGAGCACGGAAGAGTTCGTGAGAAGGTACGCAAGCATGATAACGGAGGCGATCACTCCTATGGTGCAATCGCAATCTGGTATGGGTCTACTACACGACGCGATTGAGATTGAGTAGCTGTGTACCTCCCAATCACGATCTTAAGAGATATCGCGATCTGGCGCCAAATTATAATCAGAAACGCGATCGCAATCCGGTGGGGTTGTGCCACATCTCGCGACGCAACTGTTAGTATAAGAGTTAATGAAGTGGGCCACGTCTTGCAAGCGGGCAACTGAAGAATTAATGCCCCTAGTTAACATAGTCGTAGATTTGGTTTAAGTGGTTGAACATCACGCAGATAAACTAGCTTACAAGTACATGTGCCCAATTATGCTTTGGATTAAATTACTGGCAACCCGACGTCAGGATTACTCTCATACTTAAATCAACTGATATAACTAGAATATTAAGTCACGGATCGATGACTATACAGAAAACCCCTTACTGCGATCGGAAGCAGCAACACGTAATGGACAAGATACAAGATCGCGGGAAGGCTGTAGTGGGCAGAAGGTCAATTGGATAAAGTATCTTCTTATCAAAAACGACGATCTCTCTGAGATCAGGGTGGGTCATTTCGATCACCCAACAAGTATACCCGTGGTCGTGTAAAGATTCCTACACGACTCCACAATCTTATCATAAACCCGGTTAAGTGACCCTCGACACAAGTCCACCTAAAAGAGTGAGGTCCGCCCCGCCGACGGGTACACAAGGTGAGCAAAGAAGTGTTCTACACGATAAAGGAGTTTTTTTCGATAGTCGGTCGTCTGGGCTCCAGTGGACAGTCAGGTTAAAAAATACGCTTGTGATCGCCACTTCGTCTCACACGTATAGCGAAAATGGACTTTCACATGATTTTGAAAATTATATCTTTGGCCACTAGAAAAATTATGCGGCGAATAGGAGGGTTGATTCGGATCAAATTTCAAAGCTGTGCCGTCGAAGATTAACATCTTTTTGATTTTGTATACCCTAGAATTTTCATGTCTTGAACTTAATTGTGAGGTTGCTTATTCATCAATATAAATACAAATATTGAAGAAATTTTCTTCTTAGCGTCAGTGCTATATGAGTTTTGTGGATAAGCGTCGACGGCCCAGCCCATTAAGGATGCTGGCATAAAAGTCAGAGAACTTAACATGTTTCTTTCGGGATTCCGCAAAATGCTTAAGATGGGATAAATTGATATTATTAAAAGCATGAATTGTATTCGAAAATTCAGGTACGGCCTTGCGAGCAGCTCGATA